AAAAAATAATATAATTTTATTCAATAATGTAATCAAATAAAAAACACTGCAATTTGTCATCGGCCGGCGTTCTCGTCGGCGATCACAGGAGGACACCGCAGGATCGCAGGGAGCAGGTAAGAGACTTCTCTGGGACACTGCAGTGTAATCTCGAGTGTGGCTCGGGGATTACCGCTTCTGGCAGTGAAAATTAACCCCGAGCCACCCTTGGGGTTACCGCTTCTAGCAGTGAACATGAACCCCGAGCCACTCTCGAGGTTACCGTTTCTGGCAGTGAACATTTACCCCGAATGTGGCTCGGGGTTACCGCTTCTGGCAGTGAACATTTACCCCGAATGTGCCTCGGGGTTACCACTTTTGGCAGTGAACATTTACCCCGAGTCACTCTCGGGATTACCGCCAGGGTAACTAGGGGAGAAGCAATCAAATCATTCCTTAATTAAGGATATAGTTACAAGCTGTAATAAGTGGTATGCAAGAAACTTGCACGGTGGGGGGAGAGCATATATCGGGGTGAAAGGACCTAGTTGGAAGCATTCTGGAAGGTTTCTCTGAGGATGTGACAGATGAGGCAAGATTAGAAGGCTGGTTAGAAATTGGCCAAGATAAAATTAATAGTAAATAGTAGTGGTCCCTAAGTTTTCAGAGTGATTCACGTTTTGTGTAAGGCTTTCATAAACATCCCATTAGGTCCCAGGAAATAGGCAGGTGTTATTATCCCCGTATTTGAGACGAAGGAAGCTCAGAGAGCTAAAGTGACTTTCCTAGGTCACACAGCTAGTGAAGGGCACCAGAGCCAGGCTACGTGATTCTAAGTCAAGATAATTTCTCCTGTCTCACGCTGGCAGCTGAAGGAGGCAGGCAGGCAATCACACAGGCTATTTCCTTCCCTCTTCCCCAAAAGATGACAGCCGGGATGCCAGCCCACCTGAGCCAGCCAGCCCCACCATTGGCCTGGATAAGAAGACACGCCGAAAGTTCCTGGACCTGGGGTGAGTGGAGGAGGGGCCAGAACAAAAGGCTTGCAGCTGTCTGGGTACAGGGTACAGCGGGCAGCACTGCCCGACTCCCCCTGGTCCTCCCCACAGGGTCACCTTACGTCGAGCATCCACGAGCAAGAGTCGGAAGGAGAAGGGCAGCAACCGCCTGTCCATGGGCAGCAGGTAAGAGGTTCCCATGCCTCTGAGCCACAGCTTCCACCCACAGTTCCCTGTGGGCCCAGCACTCCCCTTGGTGCTCACATCCTGCTCTCTCCACAGGGAGTCGGTGGAGGGATCTGGCAGGTCAGGGGGCTCCCCGTTCCTGCCGTTTTCCTGGTTCACAGACAGCGGCAAGGGCTCAGCGTCCTCCGGCAGCACCACCTCCCCTGCCTGTTCCCCTAAACATGAGAGCTTCAGCCCTAAGAAGTCAGCTTCTCAGGTAAGTCT